CTCGCGTTTCACCCTATCCATTTGCGTGTGCTATTCACTGCACTACCGGGCCTCCGATTCGGCTAACATTGTTGTCACTCTATTGGTGTCGCTACTAAAAAAGCAGCTTAATGTGAAATTCTTGACGACACATATATCCGATACCTATCAGCGCGACTGGGTTCAATGCCAGTATGGTATTACTAAGCCAGAACGTTGACGTTTGGTTTCTGACAGAATCGGGACCTCAGATCGCAGAAAGAGCGATCAGCCGAACATAATCCCCGGTTGTGCAGTGATAGCACGGGCTGCCGGAAAAAGTGAGAAGCGTTTTCATCTCTCGCTCAGAGTTCAAAGTCTTACATATCATGCAACATTACTGGATATATACTTACAGCCGGCTCTTATCTATTAAACGTGAGCACGAACGACCCCTTTCGATGGACAAGAAATTTTCATGGTTGTGTTGGAAACCATTCGACAGCTTAAATCTCGGGATACTACTGTACGTGCTCATATTTGAGTAGGGCCTTTTAATAGCGCTGTAGCAAAGAAACGATTTTTCTATTTCACACACACGTATTTCTCTCAGAACAGAGCTGTTCTCTCGAATTATAGATGACCATGCGATAGCGTACGCTTCGATAATACCAACGCTGTGCCTATTTTCTGGAAAAAAAAGCCGTCTCACTGCAGCGTAGCAGTGAAAATAAGACTGAGTTTCACATACGCCGCGCGTTTGCTTGTCGACTAGTTAGTTCTCGTAGCCGAGGACCAATACGCGATCAATCGATCGTGTTGGCGCGACTCGCATGTGTCGTGGCAAATTTTGTTATTGATATATGAAAATCGAGAAAGCTTATCTTGACTAGCTGACGCGAGGTTGGTAAATTAGTCGTAGAAGTTCGGCTGACGTTTCGGCGACCCGCCTTCGAACGGCGAACGAAGAAGGCGGGTCGCCGAAACGTCAGCCGAACTTCTACGACTAATTTACCAACCTCGCGTCAGCTAATCAAAATAAGTTTTCTCGAACTTCCATATAACAATTAATTATGCCGAGGTTTACAGAAAGTCGAACTTTTAAATTTTTGTTATTGAGTTTTTTTCTCCGCTTTGAAAGACTCCAGACGTATGACTCTGGTACGACAAAATTTCCCCTATACACTCATATGCTGCTTTTCGTGCTTAAGGCAGCACTAAGCGCGATAGTGATAAAAGCGCACGGAGGGTGAGAATCATCATTCAAATTCGGACGCTACAGTGTTGTAAAAGCTTTTCAAAATAAATGAGCAAGTGAAACTGTCTCCCAAGATCTGAGCATTCGAATGATTACTAACACTCTGATAAAAAGTTCTTGCTCGCGGAAAGGATCGTTTCTTCATCTGTTTCCGGATAACAGAAAAGAACCTCGAAGCCTTTTACCACTAATGAAAAAAAGGAAATAAATATACGATTCTTGACAAAGACAAGAATAAACATAAAGAAGAAAAGCAAAATAAACAAAAGTCAAAGAAGCATGAAGATTGGAAGGAACATCTAAGACTTACATTAACCACAAGAGTGTATAGATATTTGCTGCATCGAACTTTGAATTTCACATTCAGACTGTTCTTCTTAATCTTAACGATTTTCGCGTCCTTTCGGCGTGCTAATACAAGAAAATCTTTGATTTCCGTGATCTGCTTAGGCATGACGAGAAACTACCTAAACAACTGATAAGTAGATAGATACGTGATTTACTAAATTGACGGTAACGAATCATAGCGAACCAGCGACTCGAAACAGGGAACTTTTGAAAAATATCAAAACCAAATAGGTATGAAACAAATGATTGACGAAAAAAACCCCTCTGAAAAACACAGTGTCGACAAATATCGGGAAAACTTACGTATACATAATCCTCCTTGATCAAATACTCTATAAAGCACAAGACTAGGAGGGTTGTTTCTCAAACTAAACATCTCCAATCCTCAGCACCGACCGGTTTACTTCCGCGGACTCATGGAAGTGTCTAACAACTCCACCTTTTCTGCTGCGATTGGATGCCGAGTTTAGCTCCGAAACTTAGCTGCGAGTCCTCCAAAAAGTAGCTGTAGTCGGCGTCGAATCGGGGCAAACGAGCTGGAGCCGCTGGACACGCCCCTGGGTCCACGGAAGTCAACCGCTTAGCAACCTCGGCATAATATATCCTAAAGTTTTTCTTGATGAGCAGCTGTGAAGAGATTGTTATTAAAAGAACAAAACCTCCTGAAACTGATCAACCTCTGAGGGATCCGTCATGCACTCGCCTTCAATTTTCAGCTTCATTTAAGGTGATTGAATACATATCTGGCCTTTACAATAATTCATGCTGGCCTACCGCCGCACCAGGTCAGTACTACTTATCCTCCCACACAAGCCAACACCAATCTATCAGCCCCGAAGAAACGGACGGGTTGGTGCGCCATGAGCGTGAGATCGAATCTTCGACCTTGTGTGCAACGCAGAGCACCTCTAACCGTTGCTTCCTATGCGCTGCTGAGTATTCAGTAGTAGAATTTACTCAGTACCACTTATACCATATTTTTATAGCTGACGTACTCGCGGTACCCCTTCTTCAGAGCCGCTTCGTGGCTTCTAGATTTTTCAGATAATGAAGACAAGCCGCAGAGAATATTGAGACATTCTCATCCTATGCAAGATTCCATGCGGCTTGTCTCCAATGCAAAGGCGGAAGACTTAGAAAACGAATAAAACGACCAGTGCTTAAAAAAGATGCTTCTCACAAAGCGATCCAAAACTTCGTTCATTATGCTTTCTTGTTAAGGTCATGAAAGTATTCGAGTAGATTGCAAGTTTAAGTGACCTTTCCAGGGCTAGAAGAAGAAAATACTGCCTAAACGGGAGCCATTATTTTATTGTACTATACGGAAACCTACTTGGATGCTTAGAAGGTCCGTCTTCACAAACTGCACGAACTTCCTGCACACGAAAATGTTCTAGTATAGGTGTTTCACTCCCTGGAGTCCCGAGGAGCCCAGCCGGGGCTTCCTCAGGTGGTCACCACATTAGAGCAGTCGCAGGTCCTCGTTGATGAGAAAGAAGATACCACCTTGTGGCTAGTCGGCGGTCATCCTGTAACGGCTTACTCTCGGCTAGAATTTCGCAGTGGAAACGTAGGTCTTCTCCTTGGGTGGCCCTACTGGAAATTAAACACTTCCACCCGCTGTACTTCGCAGTCCGACACCCAGAAACACCTCCCAGTCACAATGAGGCGCTAAACCAATTGTACTGAGGGCTATCCAAGGAACACCACTTTTACCAACCTTATCGCATTTGCTCATCCACGGAAAACACTGAACTAAGCATCTCTGAACCTTTGTAGACGGCACTCGATCGATTTCCGCAAGCGGCGCGCGATTTTCATTGATTCACAAGAATTCTTTTCCTTCTATCGTGAATAATTTAGGTTTTCCGTATCGCTCTGATAAATCCTATTTTCCTCTACACGCCCACGAACTTTTCGTGCATATATCACTCTTATATGCAAAGAAAACTCCGTATGTGAAACGCAATTTTATCCTCGCTCTTACAGCGCATTACGGAGACCTTTCCAAGAACCGAAACTAGTTTCAGAATCGTCAAAATTTCCGGTATCGAAAGAGAATCAGTACAGACTTATAGACAGCGATCCAAAGGCCTTCGACGAGCAAAGTAAACAGAGCAGACCAAGTGCGAAACACAACATTATTTCCACTGCTACAGCGTGATAGGAAGGCCTTTTCAGAAACCGAGCACAACGTTGGAATTGCCGAGATTTAGACTTCCGAATGGCTTCTAAAATTTCGAATAAAAAGGCTTGTGCAACGAAAAAAAGGCCTCTGGAAAGGTCGAACAATCGGAAGGCCCCTCGTCGCCCGCAAGGGCTTAGAGGAGTGGTTCCACAAAAGAACAGAAATAAACCCAAAACCGTATCGAGACCGAAGCGAATAGGACAGAACGACCATGGGCCACAAAAAGGAATCATTTCCCCTCGATGCGGTTACGGTATCGTTCTTGCTGGGACCCCCCGTTGCCATCCTTCAAACTTCGGAATAGAGCACGTTATTGTCTCTTCGGGCTAGTATTCCTTATGGGGATGATTGCTTAGCAAGTGACCCCAGCGAGGTACCGGGCGGTGTTGTTAACGTCCCACATTGACCCTATAGCTACGGCGGCTGATCGATCGATCGATCGCATAGCGCAACTCGCAAGAGGGGTGCGCGGTTTTCTTCACTCAATTAGGGTTTTCTCTCAATCTGGAGAGTAAACCCTAGGTTCTTTGGGTTACTCTGATACTACATAATCTTCTCTACACGGCCATATGTCTTTCTTGCCTTTATAACTTCTCTTCACGATAAAAACTTTCAGTGCGAAACTCGACCGTCTTTTCGCTCTTACGGCGTTCTGTGAAAATCTTGAAAAAACCTAATTACAGAATCGAAATCCTCGAGATTTGGGCTTTCAAATAAGTAGTAAGGGTTTGGCGAAGAGTTATATACAAGCCCCAGTCGAGCAAATAAAGCAAACTGAGTGTGAAACATGATTTTATTCCCGTTGCTACAAGGTAATAAATAAGTTTTTTTGAAAACCCAACATATTATTGAAATCGCAGAGATTTGAGCTTTTGAATGATAACCAAGGGTCTAAGAGAAGAGCTTTGTCCAGTGAAAAAGGCCTTCAAACAATCGTGTACCTCATCGGGTACACGTCGGGCACACGTCATCCCTTAGAGGTGAACCTGGCACCAACCCCGCAGACACGGAAGGCTGGTGAACCTTGAGCGGAGGACTGAACCATCAACCATTGACCGTGTGGTCGACCACGTATTAGTAGTACAGCACTTCTAACCACTAGACCACACGTATTCAACAATAACAGTTCAAAAGCCTATTTAGAGGAGAAAAATATCTAACCAACAAAATTCTTTTTATTCAACCGCTTTTAGCGGTGCTATAATGTTACAAGTAGATCAAATGATGTCGAGTGATGTGCAAAACTTTTATGTTGGGCGCGCGGGACTCGAACTCGGATTTCACCCTTTCGGGGGGCGCGTGCTAACCAATTGCGCTACCGACGCCTGTTTTGCCACCACTCTTTTCGACACTGCAACACGATAAGGTATTCGAAATAACGTCCAAATTCACTAGAAAACTGATCCACTGAAAATTTATTCCAAAATTTCGTACACGATACAAAATGATAACATAAAAAGTAATGGAACTCCGTTCAAGGGAAGCTTCAGTAATCACATGAGCCGTCTTTCCAACCATCTTTCCATCGTTCGAAGACTTTTGAGCAGTCAAAATCTGGTTTCCCCATTTTCCGATTCACCTAAACGACATCGACAGACAATATAGTCAAAATTTCTGATGTTTTACTGCATTCTTCACAGTTTAATGATGTTATAAATACATCTGTGAGAATCGAGTGCTGAGCAAGAACTCGACCTCAGGCGGGAGTTGAACCCGCAACCCGCGTTTCACCCCTACCGGAGGCTTGTCCTACCACTACACCACAGAGTCAACCATCTTACTCATCACTCAATCTTCAATGTCTTTATCAAGCCTGTGAAAGGTTGGTGGCTGACAGCTATGATATAGACATTGAAGACTGAGTGGTGACAAAACGATTCTCGGTAGTGTAGTGGTAGCACGAGCCTCGGTTTAGACGAAACGCGGGTTCAACCCTTGTCTGAGATCGAATTTTTGCTCACCACTCAGTTTTCTTAGGTGCCTCTTCTTTCGACCGCTTTTTAATAGACCCGCTCAAAACGATATTATCTGATAAGGATATAACATGTTTTGTGCCGTTAGGTCTAGTGCTATAGAGGGACTTTTTTCGTGCTATTGGGACTCACCCGTGGCACCCTCCCTCCATTCAGACGATCCCCTGAGGTCAAAAGGAGAGGCATTTTCCATTGTATAAGCCACAACCTCGACTGCCGGTCACCACAATATCAGGTAACTCCATCATCTGACTTGCGGTGATTTCTAGTCGGCGTCGATTCCTTTATAGAGAATTATTTAGCTTCAAGGAATCGGCTGAACCGAGGAAGGGTGCTACTGATGAGTCCCAATAGGACGAAACAGGCACCTATATAGCACTAGACTTAACGGCTCAAAACATGTTATATCTCTTAGGTGCGCCTATTTGCAGCCTGTGAAAATGTTTAGAGCCTTCAAGAGGTTGATACGTCAGTAACGTACGTACGTGTTTCGGCGGTATTACCCGCTTCATCAGTGCCACACGCCCCACTCTGAACCCTGGTTTATAGCAGGGATGGGGAGACGTAGAGGCGTGTGGTAATGATGAAGCGGGTGACACCGCCGAAACACGTTCGTACGTTACTGACGTGCCAACCTCTTGAAAGCTCTGAGCAATCTCACAGACTATATTAAATGCTTATAGCGAAGTTCAAAAGCAGTCGATTGGACGAACTTAACATAAATTCAACAAATTTTCCCAAAAAATGTTCTTCTGGACGTCCAAGCCAGGGCAAGTTTACTGGACGTCTCTCACCTTATTATGTAACCGGCACATCCACATCGCAAATTCTTCACGATTCTCGAGCTTGGGCGGCTCTCCTTTCAAGTCTTTTCGTAAATCTTTCGCGCAAAAATCACATGGATATAACTGGAATTCAAATAGATCAAATCAGATCTGAGCAGTTGAACCATCATATTTCCTTCATTTCGTGTATCGGAGAGGTTAAAAAGCATTACCAGTCTGTCTGATCCCCGTCGAGCATAATGAAGTAACACCCCATAAAGATCGAATGGTTCTTCTCTGTTAGACGGAAACGAATAAGGAGATGACCCCTTTCGCTGAACAAGAACTTTTCATAAGAGTGTTTGTAATCATTCAAAAGCCTAAATCTCTGGCTACTTCGCTGCATGCTCGTTTCATGAAAAAGCTTTTTATAACGCTGTAGCAGCAAGAAAACATCTGTGTTTCATGCACTCATATTTCTTATAGGACAGAACTCTATTCACAAATAATAAGTAACCATTCGATAGCGCAAATCTGGGCGATTCCAAGGCTGTGCTTATTTTTTGGAAAGACCGCTTCACTGCAGTATAGCACGGAAAATAAGATTGGGTTTCACATGCGCGAGCATTGTTTTTCGACTAGCGTGGCGTAGGCAGAGGGAATGCTGGCCGCGGTTCCATACGGCGATCGATCGATGGTGCCTAGGCGGATCACATGTGAAGTGCGATTTCTATTATCTGATACGGGATTTTTCCTCCGCTTGAACATTACAAGATTTCCTTTACACGTTCATGCTTTCCGTGTCTCCAGCGAAATAACAGTAAAGGCGCGCGGCGCATGTGAAACATAATTTCATCTTGTATGCGACGACGCTGTGAAAATGGTTTTTAATAAAACGAGCACGTAGCGCAATAGCTAGAGAGTTAAGCTTTGAGTGAGTACTAACGCTTTCATAAAAAGTTCTTGTTCAGCGAAAGCGGTCGTTTGATTTGTCCCCACAGGACCCATTTAACTCATAAACCACAATGAACATATCCTTTTCTCCTGTTCAGCTAGATAGAATAGTGCATACGGTGGTCAGTGCACAAAATCCCTCTACTGGTTTTCCGGTGAAAAAGCAAATCAAAAGAGCCGGTTACTATCTACTATGATCATCTGAGAACACCGCACAAATGCTAAGTTGTGATTCCCAGGAAGAATCGCGTTGAATAGGAAATTGTCTTTATATATAGAAGGAGTGGAAGGGTGGTGAACCTCAAGCGCGGGATTGAACCATCGGCCATCGATAGATCACTCACGCGTGTTTCGCAAAGCACCTCTGCCGCGCCACAGGTGCTCTCAATCTCCTAGGGATTTGAACTAATCCACTGATATACAAACGAGAAAAAAATTTATTTAGTTGACCTTGAACATTTTTAGTAATCCTATACACATACCTTAGCTAGGCTTTCCATAAAAGTTGAGGCAGTCTTCTTTTCAACTTCCGTTGGTTTCTGTGGATAGTAGACACTCATCGTATGTAATAGATTCCACGTAGAACGACCTATCAAAAACAAAACAAGTCCCTAATGTGATTGTTCGACAATAGTGGAGAGTTGTGGTCCCATAACTTAATCTCGACGAAAGGCGCCCATACGTCAATTTGGAGCAACGCCTTGCCGTGAAACACAACCACGAAGCGGACATCATCCAATTGACTTCCGCGGACCCACGCTGGGCGTATCCGCCAGCTTTGCTCGACTTCACATCCACTGCCCCGATTAGTCGCCAACTATAGTACTACTTTTCGTTGCAAGATCCGCAGCGTTTTGAACTAATTCGCGTGCGGTCTTGCAACGAAAATAGTGCTGTAGTCGGCGACTAATCGGGGCAGGGAACGTGAAATCGTTCCCACGCTGGCGAACACGCCCAGCGTGGGTCCACGGAAGTCACCCAGTTGAGCTCATCAAGCACTGCGCCATGGGACGGGTGCTGAAGGAGGGGACGACACTAGTGGTGCACACGAAAAAGTGCGAGGGCCTCAATTCCCACCTGAGATACAAGATCAAACGCATCCGAGGCACACGCAGGCACTACGTGGTCGGGCATATCGCTGAAGCATGCTGAAAAATAAACATCCGTGCAGGCAAGAAGGACCACATCAAGAGCTTCTTCAACCAAATCGCTCCGCTGCCTATCCACGAGCTCGATGAACCAGATGACGGAAGCAGTGAGGATGTGCACTGATAGGGCCACAACTCTCCACAGGGACTGGCTGTTCTAGGGGTTAGGAAGAGTAGTAGACTCACCTAACTCGTCCTTATCCACAGGACAGTTCTTGAAATCGTGCGACGATGTCGACGGATCTTGTTCCTCAGTCGTTGTTTCGTTTCCTCCAAGCGAAAATTTCAATAACTTAGTAAACCTTCATATGTATTCGAATTCACACATATACATGTATCACAGAAAGAGTGATAGCAGAACAGGAACTCCAGCGGTGTAGTGATCAACACGCACACCCGGAAGAGGTTAAACGCGAGTTCAACCCCGCTCGAGGGTCAAAGGCTTGCATGTCACTCAACTATTGGATTGTATATACATGTATATATACATGTGTATGTACACAATACATGCATATAGGTTTACTTACTTAACTGGATACGAGGAAGGTCCGTTTTCACGAATTGTGCGGACCCTATCTCATGAAAATGTGCCGGTTTAGCTGTTCTGTTGCCTGGAGTCCCGAGGTAAGCCTAACCGAGGTTACCTAGGACCTCACCACATTAAAGCAATCGCTGGTCTTTGTGGATTGAAGGGTGACTATCACCTTGCGGCTAGGAGCTACCAAGACAGCGGTCATTCTTAGTACGGTTCTATCTTAGCTGGGCTTTCCGAGTGAAAACGTCGGACACGTTTTCAACACGGATACCCCTGCTCGGAGGTTGAACACCGGCTGTACTTCACAGCTTGATACCTAGGAAGACCTCCCAACTACGATGAGGCGGTAAAACATTTGGGAGGCATATATGTACACATAAAGGTTCTATTCTGTTAGATGGCGAAAAATGAATATTTGACCCCATTTGCTGGGCAAGAATTTTTCACAGGAGCTTTAGTTATCACTCGAAAACTTAAATCTCTAGATAGAGCGATATTTGGCCGCATTTTCTTAATCCTTTGATAATGCTGTGAAATTTAAAATAAAATTATGCTTCACTTTTGTCACGCGCATAATTCGCTGGAAGCACTAAAAGCATACGAACGTGTAGAGGAATTTTTGTAGTATCTGAGTCAATCGTTTTATCTGGAGTTTGTTTCAAACCGGAGAAAAATTCCTGATTTAGTAACAAGTTGCATCCCACGTGTCTAACACTTTAGGCCATCGATCATTTGCCCCCCTCCCCCCTCCCGCTCCCAGCTCATAGGTTGGCGGTGAACAAGCTGGCCGAATATAGGAAACTCGACCTTACTTTTCCTGCTACACTTCAGTGAAACGGTCTTTCCCAGAAAATGAGCACAACGTTTATATCATTTAAATTCATGCTAATAAAAATTCACTGGTAGTCAGAATTCTTTTTATTTTGACTGCCACTTGCAGTGTTATGATCT